ATCTCTGACTGCATGAAAACATATATTTACAAAGTACATAGCAACTATTAAGGTACAGGGAACTTGCTCCTAACTTCTCCATACTACTTTATAGAAAATCCACTAAAAAATTATGAAGAGTATAGTACTCAGAATGAGAACTTAGCCTATCATAAATGTACATATAAATATTACAGTGAATTGTCACACTCAAGACTCAGAAACTTCTTCGTCAGGGCAGCAGTAATATTCCACAAAACATATTTGTCCATCTTCATTTCTAATCATGTACTGTAATGAGAGAAATTCTCGGTTATCTGTCCGAATCGATACCTTACAAGATAGGATTAATGCCTTTGTAGAGGGTTTTAGTAAAGAAATCTTGTATCTGTAGAAGGGTAAATAAAAAGCTGTTATTTCAATACACTTAATACACATAACTTAGTGCTCATAACTCCAGGTAAAGGACAAAACTTAGCCAAGAACTACTAAGTAGCAAGTATAAGAATAAAATAAAATACTGATCCAATTTTCTAATATTTCCTCTTGATTCTTCTTAGTCATCCACTATTACAAACCCAAATCCCCAAGTAAATCCAGCAACTTACTATTCATTCTTTAATAATACTATGCATTTTTATTAACAGATTGAAAATTTTATTTAAAAGAAATCTGGTATTTAACCTCAACTTCATCACCAGTGGCAACCTTTATATTAAGAACTGACCTGTTGACCTGGGTTTGATTACAATGAAATGCTTCCATCAAATCAGAATCTTTAGGATAGTCAAGGTGGGAACTTCCTGCATTTCCAAAAGTAGATAACCTATAGTAGAAAATGAGCAATTCATTTATTCATTGGTCCAAAAATAAGCCACATTAGGATCCAAAAAAAGAAAGCACTTCCTTAAGAAGCTCATTCTGGTGAGTGAAACAGATATGTAAAAAAATGTTTATAATAACATGATAACAAGCACCATAATAAAGGTTCCCAAGAGATGCTGTGGGAGTACAGGGCAACTAGCACCTAATCAACAGCTCTGCAGAAAATCAGTCACAAAAGGAGTGGGGGAGCTTGCCTCAATTTCATTACGGTACTTACTCTGATAACAACACTTCCTCATCCTTAAGTTAGAAATATATAACAGGAAAGAGAATTAAGAAGCGATGGAAGACCCTGATCTAAGTCATATGCAAGTCTTAGGTCCTGTTCCCAATCTCTACTGCCAGATCAAGCAATTATGGCTTTTCTGTATCTTAGCTGGACTGCTCTTAAAGCTGTTTTATGGTTTTTCTCACAAAGTAATATCAGCAGTTGTGTGGAGACAAATTTATAAATGTTGATGTGTTTGTTTAATCTGCAAGAACTTATTGAGCATTTGCTATGGGGTTAGCATGTTGACAAGTACTATA